CCTGGTCCGGGGAGCCTTCTGATGTTCCGGCGGTTGACTACTGGTTCCAGGAAAGTGAGCCATCACCTCCATCCCAACCGGCACTTCTTTTCAATTTTGGATTCAATGGATTTTAATATCCATGTCTGCTGCATGTCTAACCCCCTATCGCATGATTTTCTTAATCTTATTGATGCTTTTAATCTATCCCAGTGGATCAAAGACTCTATTCATATCCAGGGCCATACATTGGATCTTGTTCTCTCCTATGGGTTTGATGTGACTGATATTGTGCTCTCAGAACTTTTTGCCTATCCTGTCTCGACCACTGAGGTCACCCTTGAGCTCCTGTCTCGGCCATCTCTAAACCCTCTGCCTGCCCTATCACGGCCATGAAGACGGTCCTTAAATCCCTTGCCAGTCCTGTAATTTCCACAGAGGCCGTTGTTAACCTTTCAGTTCTGTTACAGTTCCGCCTGCCCCGCCATGGTGGGTTACTGCTCCTCTGTGGTGGACTTCAACTCCATCTGCTCTACCATGGGGTTGTACAGCTCCACAAGTCCTGCCATGGTGGCTTCCAACCTCTGTGACCAAATAAAACTGTTTATATATACTAACCTGTTGTGTCAGACCTTTTCCGTTACACTCTATCAGGACACAAATTTAAAATCATGATAGAAATCCTATTAGCAGTTATGTTGGTTATCACCTTGGCTAACAATTAGAGCTGCTTAGCAATGCCTAGACGTCACAATCCCTGCCAGTGTTTCCTTGTGGCAGGTGATGAAATCTTGTAAATAGATTGTGTCTGGAGTGGTCTAGATGTTGACCTCAGTGAGATGTTGCCAGGGGGATCCAAGCTGGACTCAGGCATAATATATAGACCTTGTCCTGCAGTTTTGTGGTTCCTCCTTCACTGTTAAAGAGAGGTGGAGGACCTCAACATAGCTGCCACTCCAGAGTCTCCAGCCGTCATGGCCACCATGCCAGAGGCTTCAGCCGTCTTGGAGGCCACTCCAGTGTTTCCGGCTGTCATGTATGTTGCACCTGAAGCTACCATGGCAGTCCCTAGCTGTTTGACTTCCAATTAGGTGGACCCACCACTGATGTTGGTACAGGTGGCCGGCATCCCCAGCCCGGCATCCTCTGCGCTTTCAAGCCTGGTGATCCTCCCTCCGTCTGCTGCGCTGCCTGTGATGGCGGTCGCCATCTTGTGCACCATGCCAGAGGCTTCAGCCGTCTTGGAGGCCACTCCAGTGTTTCCGGCTGTCATGTATGTTGCACCTGAAGCTACCATGGCAGTCCCTAGCCGTTTGACTTCCAATTAGGTGGACCCACCACTGATGTCGGTACAGGTGGCCGGCATCCCCAGCCCGGCATCCTCTGCACTTTCAAGCCTGGTGATCCTCCCTCCGTCTGCTGCGCTGCCTGTGATGGCGGTCGCCATCTTGTGTGCGTGGGCCACACAAAGCTCTCCAGCCCCTGAGTCTGCACCGGAGCCCTTTCCGGTCCATGAGTCCGCTCCAGATCCCGCTCAAGTACCAGAGCTCAGTCTTGTGTTGTTGCCAGTCAGTTAACTTTTTGCCTATCCTGTCTCGACCACTGAGGTCACCCTTGAGCTCCTGTCTCGGCCATCTCTAAACCCTCTGCCTGCCCTATCACGGCCATGAAGACGGTCCTTAAATCCCTTGCCAGTCCTGTAATTTCCACAGAGGCCGTTGTTAACCTTTCAGTTCTGTCTGTTACAGTTCCGCCTGCCCCGCCATGGTGGGTTACTGCTCCTCTGTGGTGGACTTCAACTCCATCTGCTCTACCATGGGGTTGTACAGCTCCACAAGTCCTGCCATGGTGGCTTCCAACTCTGCCTGTACCACCGTGGAAGTCTCCAGCCCGACCTGCGCCGCCCTGGTGGTCTTCTACTCCACCGTGGAAATTTCCAGTCCCATCTGCTCTGCTGTGGTGGACTTCTGCTCCGCCGTAGGGATCTCTGTTCCCGTCTGCTCCGTTGTGAGGATCTTGGGTCCTGTTTGTCCTGCCGGCTTCTTCTGGCCACCTGATCAGCCAGC